ATGATTCCAACCATACGATGGTCTGGAAAAGGCAAAACTATGGAGATAGTGAAACAAATCAGTGATTGCCAGGGTTTTCAGAGAGAAGCAGAAGAGGTGAAGCACTGGAACTTTTAGGGCAGAAGCTACTGTGAATGATGTAATGGTGGATACATTTAACAAATGATACATATTTCACAAAACTCCTAGAACCGAACAACATGAAGAGACAACTTTAACTATGGCTTTCGGTTAGTAATAATGTTAGTAATATTGGTTCATTGATTGTAACAAATGTATCTCACTAACGTGAGATAGCAGCAGAAGGGAAAATTGTGCAGAAAAGGGAGTATATGTACTGTCTTCCCAAGTTTTCTGTAGACCTGAAACCATCTTGTAAGATGAAATCTACTAATTAAGAAAAATTCTTAACAATGGTAAACTGGTATGGGCTACCGGTGGAAGGCATGGCATTAGCCGGTGCATTTGGGAATTGTGGGCGAGTTGTAAGGATCAGGATGCCAGGACGGGGTGATTGTTGCTGGATGCTATCAATGCCCTGGAGGAAGATAATGAAAGTTGGTTAATCTCCAACTCAAGGTCAAGTGTGGACATCCCCAGGGCTTTTCTGGCGGCACACAGACAGACCTCACATCTTGCAGGAGGAATTGAGAGTCAGGCCCAAGACTTAATGATATGGATAGCAGAGCGCTGGAAAAGGCTGAATTCTCAACGCCAGAAAATCTCCTATGCCAAGGTCAGGGCCCGAACTAGAAGGAGGGGGACCCTGAAACAACTAGGACCCTGGGAACAACTAGGTTGATACACTCAAAAATCTTTGAACCCCAGGTCCTTCTGAATGCTCTGGGCTCTCAGCAGTGACCTACTCCACCCTGTCAAAGGCTACAGCCCCCACCTTCCCTCCCGGCTGTCAGCTGATATGAAAGTTCAAGTTGCAATATAATCCAGCCAAGGAGGAGCTGGGCCTGGCCAAGGAAGAAAGAGATTGTATCCTGAAGTTGCTGCATGACCTAGCCAAGATGTACCACCTGGATATGCTGAATCAAGGGGCAGAATGTCAGATGGGATAAGGGAGGATTTATCAACGGAGAAACACTTTCCCAGGACACAGGATTTAATGCACTGGGAGGCAGTGCTAATTTGCACCCAAGAAGATCCTTGGGAAGTTTGGAAAAAGTGATGACTCACACACTCGTTGAAACATAAATGTCATATGTACTGTGGCAAACGGTGAAGGAGTCAAGTCTCAGAGAAGTGGGCACGCTAATGCGGATATACCTAGTAAGGCTGGAAACAAGACACGAGCCAACCACGTTTCACAGAAGGGCTCGGAGACATTCTGTTTACCAGATCAGTGGGGACTGGGAAGCTGGGGGCACCAGCATCGATGAGGAGCTCAGCAGTGTCTGTAAGCCAGAGGGGGCAACAGCAGATGCTGTCATAGAACGGCCTCCCTTACAGCAACAGGGATATCAGGATCCCAGAATGATAGGCGGCGGCGCTTAATCATCAACAGCAAGGGGGGTGCAGTTCTTGTAAGAGCAGCAAAGCTGGAGCACTGAAGAGGGAAGGGGGACCTGCACATACCATGAAGATGGCTGATAAAACACGGTATTCCTAAGGGACAAATAGGCAGCCAAGAAGCTATTACCTAATGATACAACCAAGAGAAGCCAACAATGGATGGCACGGTCTGAGGGAAGCCATCCCAGCCTGAAGTCACAGTCTTTTGCTTCCTTTCCAGACCTGATCTGGTCTCGGACCTGTGCCCCCCAGACTGGGGGAGAAGCTGGGTCTTTATGAGGACGAACGACACAAACCACAGCCAATGCTGTCATGATGCCCCTGGGCCTCCTCCAAAGGAGTCTACCGCTAGTGGTCACCCTCCGGCCACCCCACGCTGAGGAAAGAGGATCACCCAGATATTCCAAGGACTGCGGGAGCCAGGGTCCAGGTTGAACTGAGAGCTGTGTGCTCCATGCCTGTCTCGGCTGAGACCTCTCGCCATCTTCGTAGTCCTTCAGCTTCCCTGGGGACGGTCACCTGGGGGATGCGGAGCAGGGCAACAACAGGCAAGCCCCGGTCCTCATTTCATCAGATCACTTTCCTACAAGACTTGTTTTTCTGTTCTGAGGAGCAAAGCTTGTCTCCATCCTTATGGCCACTGAAAATTTAAAGGGTGGTTTATTCTACTGGTCCTGAGCCTCACAGAAGAAAGGCCGGAGCAGGGCTGTTGTTTTAAAATTTTTTTTTTTCAACGTTTTTATTTATTTTTGGGACAGAGAGAGACAGAACATGAACGGGCGAGGGGCAGAGAGAGAGGGAGACACAGAATCGGAAACAGGCTCCAGGCTCTGAGCCATCAGCCCAGAGCCCGACGCGGGGCTCGAACTCACGGACCGCGAGATCGTGACCCGGCTGAAGCCGGACGCCCAACCGACTGCGCCACCCAGGCGCCCCAGGGCTGTTGTCTTCTCTACAGCCAGGAGAGCGCCATCTCCACGAAGATGCTAAATATGTTAGCGGTACAAGCGCTGGGCGCGCTCCTTTTACATGGCAGTAACAGAACGTTAACAGTCAGGAAAGTCCTTACTCGGAAAACCGAGTTTTTCTTTTAAAACCAAGCTACTGTGATTTTCACACCCAAGTTCACAGCGGCATGATTCACAGCAGCCAACCCAAGCGTCCATCAGCGAGTGAGCTGACGAACAAAACGTGGTCCCTCCACACAATGCAATATTCTTCAGCCGCAGAAAGGAAGGACCGATACCTGCTAGGCGGTGGATGAACCCTGAGGACGTGACACTCGGTGACATAAGCCAGACACAGAGGGACAAGCACCGTGTGATCCCACTCACATGAGGTCCCCGGAGTCAATTCGTAGACACAGAGAGTAGAAGGGTGGGGCCAGGGGCTGGAGGTGGGGATGGGGAGTGAGTGTTTGATGGTGACCGAGCTTCAGTTTTGCAAGATGGAAAAGCCCTAGAGACCATTTGCACAACAACGTGCATGTAGTTACACTACTGTACTGCACACCTAACAACGGTTAAGACACTAGATTGTATGTCACGTGTTTGCTGCCACAATAGAACAAAACCCACGCAGCAGCATGCTGTTGGCATAGTTTCCATGCCTTAGCCCCCGAACAGCAAGTGGCCTGCTTCCCATGTTTACCATGCAGCAAGTGATAACATCACGATCTCTCTTGCCACCACTAAGATGCTCCAGAATTCAGGGTGGCCCCCCCTTCACGGCGCCCCGACTCAGACAACCTGCCTCTGACCCACTCCCGTGAGTGCACACGTGTCAATACACAAACCCAATTTGCTTAGTTGGGAGAAAACCCAGCCTTGGCAACAAAAGTTAGGGTACAGGGTGGGGGTGATCTTGCCAAGGGCACCCCTTTGCAGTCTTCACCCCGTCTCCTAGTTGACGCTAGTTCAATTCAGCTAAAGCCAGTGCTTTCTAATGACGGCAACCGAGTCTCTCGGTGTGCTCCTTATTTACGACACCCACGGGAGTCGAGTAACTGTCAATTACTCTTGCAGGGAAGGAGGTAAAGAACCTTAAGTGTGTTTTATACCTTTACCCTGAAGGAGAATATCAGGTAAAATGGAAAGGAATGGGGTCCTGTGAGCACGATGCTCAATTTCAACGCACTTGTACACACAGCACATAAAGGCCTACCTCCCGACTGATTCTTGCGCCTAGATTCACGGGTTTAGGGAGACTACAGCAGCTTATGGAATCCGTGCCTGCAGCCGACGGCATTCTTACCCATTTCCCTCGTTTCTGCCCGTTTTGCGGAGCCGCACTCTCCTCTTCCTGGGTCTGCTTACATCTCGTGAAAGCGCTGCCGGCTCCAGTTCCCGGTGCGCCCGCTCACCGCCCTGCACCTTCAGACCTCGTCCCTGCTTGGACTTCACGGGAATAGATTTCAATCAAGGAGTTCTTAAGGCGTGCTCCAAGCAAGCCGACGGGAGGCACTCGGACTCGCTGAGTCGATGACAACTGATGTGACACGTCAACGGAAGCACTAAGTGTCAGCACAGGAAAGACAGTTAACTCGACACATGCAAGCTAAGGAGAGGAAAGCGGTCTGGCCTTGCGGCTGACAGAAGAGCCAGCCTGTCGTGGCCATGTGACCTAAGTGGCCCGATCTTCCTCTCCCAGCTCCCTGCGCTCACTGCCTGGGCTGCAAACACCATCCTAGGCCAGAAAATAATTCAGTTGCAGGGAGACCCAATGGAGAATCCAACTGTCTGTGGCCGACGGATACAGGGTCATCGAGTGTGTCCAACCACCCCCTGGCGTGGCCATGCTCGGGGCATCAACGGCCCGGTCAGATCTCCTATTTATAGCACCGTATCCCTGGAGCTCGCCACAAACTGCTCAAAAGCTTTTGGCAAGTCCTCTTCTGCCGTCTCTGGAGTGGAAAGGGCACCTGGGAAGAAAAGGAAGGCGGCCACACGGTGAGCCCCAGCAGGGCCCGGGTTTGGACCATGTGAGGTGCTCCAGCCCATTGGTACACTTCCGCCTCCAAGAGAAGAGCCACCCTGGGTGCCTGGGAGACTTAGTCGGTTGGGCTCCGACTCCTGGTTTCAGCTCAGGTTGTGATCTCGAAGTTCATAAGGTCTAGCCCCATGCTGGGCTCCACGCTGACGGTGCGGAGCCTCCTTGGGACCTCTCTCTCTCTCTCTCTCAAAATAAATAAACTTAAAAAAAAAGAGCAGCCCAAAATGTGAGATTCCCCAACTTCCTCCTCAGCTTAAACTGGAGCCAGTACAGAACTCTAAATTCCTCATTAAATCCATTGGCTTTTGCACGTTGGGGGTGGGTGGGGGGAGCTCCTTTCCTGAAACAGCGAACCACTTATTCCCTTCTGAATCTAACGCAGCGGAGACTGGGGCTGCTCTCAGTGCCTCGGTGACAGGCCCCACTGGCTGCCCAGGAGGGTCCTAATGCGGACTCCGCCCGCTAACAGTGCCTCACGGCCGAACATGGACCCCACCACCAAGCTGCGTTCTGGCCAGGAGCTGCTCACTGAGTGGCCGGAGGTGACCAGCTGAGTGAGGAGACCGTCATGCTGTCTCGCTGGGGAGGTCGGCACCCCTCTGCCTGGGACCCGGAGGCTCGTCGGGAAGGGCCTGCTAATTTATCGCTATAATTAGGATCTGTTTTTATAGTTTCAGTTGCTGGCAGAGAAGGACACAGGAGCTCTTTCCAAAGAATACTCCAGGGGGCCGCTGGTGCTGCCTGGGCCTCGGTGGGGCTGGCAGGGGCTGATGCCCGGGGGGTCTGCACCTGCCCCTTTCTGCCCTCCCTCTCCGAGCACACCCCCCTCCCCCATCTCTTCTTCCCCTCCAGGCACAACTCTCTAGATGCATTCACAGCACTTTTGCAATGGCCACACCAGCCAGGCTCAGCCCGCCATGCGGCCTGACCAGCAGTAACAAAAACACAGGACGACTCCCGGTCTCAGAAGAACAAAGTCTGTATGAACAACGCTGAAAACAGACCTGAGTCCCCCTGGGGAAAGCGTCCAGGGTCGGGCCCTCCATTCGAATCGGACTCATGAAGGCCCTTCATTCGCCGTGGCTGCCGCGCCCTCGTGGTGAGCACTGCCCGCGGCCATCGCTGGGCTCTGCCGGGGAGTCTGCACCCAGCATGCCACGCCCGCACTGCAACCCCCTCTTTCTCTCGCACGTTCACCAAAGTGCTACATCCCTCTCGAAGGCCCAGCTCGCCCACAGCACCAGAGGCCTGCTCCCCGTGCTGCGGACGTCTGCGGGGTCTGGTCCGTATCTCTCACCCTCTTTGTACTGGGGACCCACCGCTCTGGGGTTGAACTGTTTTTTGTTGTTGTTGTTTTCAAATACACGTTGTCTTCACTCTCCAAGCAGCTTCCAGTCTCCAACCTTATGCTTCCCCTGCCCTCCCGACAGTGCCCAGCAAAGTACGTCGTGTGAAGCAGGTCTTCAACAGACCCCCGTCTGGGACCGCCTAACGTCCCTGCTGGGATGAAGGCTGGAGGGCGCGGGTGTCCAGAGGCCCCCCGCCGTCAGCGCCCAGCACTAGGCGTGGCACCCCCAGAGACCCAGAGCCCTCCTTTTCCTCAGGATTGGGCCGCGCGGGACACGGATCTCTCCTCCTCCAGTTCAAACTAATATTCATGGAAAAAAGGACAATGTTGCAGTCCTAGCCAATACGCATAGATTAGAATAATGAACAAAGCTAGCAGCCAACCAGGAGGAGTCATTTCACAAAAACACTGTCGCCGCCTCCAGGATGGAGCTGCCAGGGCGCAGGCGGCTTTAATATTTAATGCAGCGATTCGAGGGGGTAGCGAAGGGGCCTGGCCAGGAATGGAACATCAAGTCAGTGAAATCAGGGTGATTATTACTTATTCAGAACCCACTCAGGAACCAACACAAAGTTGAAAACAAACTGGTGACTTTGCATTGTTGTTAATTCATCCCGGACTAGATTCTTTTCCCTGAGTTCTCGTGGTCCTAAGAGTAGGACCCCGAGACAGTGACCAGATCAGAGCAACCTAAAAATAAAGAACAACACTGTTGAAGCAGAACCGCCACCGATGATGGGGAGTGGGGATAATCACTGCTACCTGAAAAGGACAGCTGTCTTTCCGAGCCGCGCGAGAGCGATGGCCCGGGCACACGCAAAGGCGCAGACGGCGGACGCGAGCATGCCACAGCCGGTTCACAACACGTTTCCATAAAGACTTAAATTCGAAACGAAATGCTGTTTCCTACCTTAACTGCCACGTGCTCCTCTCCATTTCAGTCGGCAGCATGACGCGTCGATACAGGTGATCACGTCCCTGCACGGTGGCACGTCTGTGAATCAAGAGATTTTTACCTGTAGTTATAAAAGTAATGTATACAGCTCACAAGGCACCCACGCCTCCCTCGGCGACTTGAGGGAAAGAGGGAAGATGCAAGCTTGCTTCCCAGTAAGTAACGGGCGCACCCGCCCTTGCCGCTCCGCTCCAAGATACAGCAACAGGCAGGCTTGCAAGAGAAATGAAAATCTTGTTACTGAGCACATGAAGGCAGCTCCGTTTCTAAGTTGTAAATTGACATCACGTAGGCTGACAGAAGAACTGTAAAGCCGGCTCAGAGGCACCTGCCTCCCTCGGCTGGCTCTCCTGAGCAGAACGTTCCCGAAGACAGAGGAGCAAGCCCTGGGAAGCACTGCTAACCAGGCCGCGGTGTCGTGCGTGGTCGCCCGAGGCTCCCCACGGGCCTTACACCGCCCCTGCCCGTCTGCCCTGTCACCCGCTCAAGGAGACCCACGATCAGCGGTGCCGTCCGCCAGGGATATAGCATCACTTCCAGAGGCTCCCAACTCTGACCACCTAGTGGACCCAAAGGTTTCTCGTGGTGGGGAGAGGAGCACGTGGACCCATCTCACGGCCACGGGTGGGTGCCGTGTGCAAATCCCATGTGCCACGTAATACTGGAAGTTAAAGGAAGTCAAGGCATAGCCTTGGATGCGCGGTGGCGCTGGAGACATCATTCTGACAGGACGTTTGAAATGTCCTCACAAGGAGTATTTCTGCCACATTCTCGATGAGGGCTCCCTTTTCTCTTTTTCAATTCTGCATTTGTGTTCCCAGTCACATACAACATTTTACATGGACAAATTACCAACGAGCGGCCCTCGCTCCTCACTGTTGGGCCTCAAGTGCACTGAGCAAAGGGTTCTCCAAGGTCATTTCTGACAATATTTAGAAAGATATTGAAACAGAAGCTCTTACACTGATTTGTTAACAAAGGATGGGGGTAAGCAAGAGCCACGTGACCCAGATTCTGTGATCAAAGGGGTTCCCTATGCTAGGTAACATCACATCACAAAAATACGAGAGGGAAAAAGAGAACATTAGTTTGTCTCTGCTCCTCTCAGCTGCCTCCCATTCTCTGGGGAACCTGAGCGAGAACCTTTTATTCCACAGGGCTTTTGCTTACATAAAATGTGTCGTGAGGCAAATCATAAGCCACGTCTCCTATAGATCGCCTTATGATCACTTTCTGGAATTAAAATCTCTGTCTACCTGACTTTGTGTCTATGAAATATTTACGCTGTGCTCACATGTCTAAGGGAAAACAGTTTGATTTTTCTTGGCAACTTCGACTCAAAGTATCACACCTCCCTCTGTGAGTCTCGGATTCACGGAGCCAAAGCCTTTGCAGAGACCTAAAGACAACGTCGGTTAGAGGACAGAGCACTCCACCTGGCCATCATCTGCAGCAGCGACAGCAGGGTTGGCGACCCCACCCCCACAGGTCTTTGCTCCGAGAACTCCTAGGACAGTCTCCAGTAGGAAAATTGGCCTAAGTGGACTTCACATCACCAGTGTATTCATTATGAGGCCACCATATGCGAACGTGTATGTGGACACTCAGAATTTAAGGACACACATTTCCTTTGCACAAGGCTGCACTGAGACACTTCCTGTTCCTCCCCGAGAGTCCTTATGCTGAAGCCCCGATGTCATCAGAGCATCCCTCTCTGGTTTCGTCACCTGAAGCCACCTGCCTAACATGATGAGGTGCATAAGCACCATCTACAAAGGGTTAAAGGGCACAGTGCTTGTCATCAGGGAGCTGATGGTCTAACACCATGAATAGCACCCCTACGGGAACAGTCACCACAACTGAGCATTAAACAAGTAAATTGCGATACGTACTCCCTCCTTCAGCCTAACATCTGACCTCTGCCACCACCTGATGCCCAGACCTTGTTCCTCTTCAACAGCTGTTTTGCTTCTCCCCTTCTGGACACCTGCTGGGGCTGTACTTCCCAGCCCCCCTGCTTGGGTGTGGGACCGGCTTAGCCAGTGAGCTCCGAAACTCCCAAGCGAGAGGATCTAAGACCAGTGTGAGGCCCCTGTGGCCACCTTTTTTCTTTCCGCCAAGGCAACGAACGAGACTTCCAACATCGATTGCTCTGTTGTCTCAGGGCTTAGAGGTGAGGACAATGTGGAGCAGAGCTTGTGTACACATCGGGGACAGGACACGTGAGAAGGAAATAAACCTCTGTTGTTTTCAACTGCATTGATTTTGGGATTGTCTGTTACACAGCACAGCCCTGAGTATTCTGAATGCTGTACTGTGATAAGGAAGGAACTTTCCCAAAAGTCATAAACATGCACGTAGGTAAACTTTATGCAGGCTTCTCATTCTCATGTGGAATTCAGTAGAGCACCTGGTGCTGCTTGTCACCTGTGGCCTCTCCTCCATGGTACTTTCGCATTCTTTCCCAGTCCTGCTATCGGCTCTTTTCTGTTTCCTCCTCCTCCTGTGACCTACCTGCAGGCCCTCCTTAGGCCACTTCTTGCTCTCTTTTTGGGAGACTTTATCCATTGTCTTGACTTTGAATAGTATTCCAATTCTAATCCAGTGTTCTCTCCGTTCCTATGACTTCTCAAAACCCAGCACGACCCAAACAGGTTTGCCTCATCTCCAAATTGCCATCTTGGTAACCTGCCCATTCTGGCGGCTTCTGCTTTCCCGTGCTTGAACTAGCATGCCTGCTTCTTCTCTGTCCTTCGTGCCCAGTTAGCCAAGAAGTTCTCCTGGTTCTTTTTGGTTTTTAATCTGCTTCCTGAATATATCCCTTTCTTTCCACCTCCACCATACCAGCACCTTCAAGAGTCAGGACTCCAGTAATCCAACCCTGGCATCCTCTCTGAATCCTTCTCAATATATCCTGCAACTCCCTCCCAGATTTGTCTCTGCAAACATCCGTCGTATGGATCAACTCGTTGGGCAGTGTTCTGTCTCTCCTACCAGTCAAATGAAGTTCAGGTTTCTCCTCCTCAAGTTCTAAGTCTTCTGTCTTTATCTAGTGGGCTTGACTTCAAACTTTGTGCTTTACACGTTTGGTCTGTTTCTTTCCCTTTCCCTGAATTGCCAACTCATGATGAATGTTGGACACCTGTTGCTTCTAGATTCCAGCATCCGTCTCCCTTCTTCATCTGGTAATGGCACAATGACTTTGGAGTACTGTCTCTCCCCCATTTCATGTGATTCTGGCAGGGCCATCAGCCAGAGGCCACAGAGTGGACATTTGCTTACGGTGATCTTGTGCCCCAGTTTTCCTATCAGGGTCCTAGGTCATGCCTGTTGTCCCAACAAAACTAATAGCAGCACCCCATGTCTACCCTCAAAAGTGTCTTCAGTTAGGTGCACACGGAGTCACCCTACACATGAACCAAGAAAGCCCATTAGAATCCATCTGTGGGATCATGACATACAGGCTAGGAAAGAGACATTCACTCTGGAGGCCAACCGTAGCCCAGGTTGCTGGCAGCTATGTCTTTGTCACAAGAGGAGGCTGCTCTGTAGCGGAACAGGGAGGCCAGCATTCAGAGGGAAGGATCTTTTCTAAATTCCTGGATCCAGCACATCTCACGTCTAGGAGCCAATAAATTCCCCTTCTGGGAACAATCTAGTTTGAGGTGAATTCTTGTCACCTGCAACCAAAAGATACTCCAGCCCAACTTTTTCAGGCAGACGTTGATCTGGGAAGTTTTTATTCTCTGAATTCTCATCATGATTACAGCCTCTGCCCTGCAGCCTCGTAAGTACAGTGTTTACACCTAACGTCCAGTTGTTTCGGGATGTGGGGCTCTTTTTCTCCAAGATCAAAACTATAAGCTCCTGGGAGAAGACAGGGACCCCATTTAATCTCTTCTCATATTTTCTTGAGGCCAAACAGGGTGCTGTGTACACAGCAGGCACCCAATAAATATTTGTTGAGGATATGAGTCACAAATGGAAAGGTAATATTGACTGTGTGTCTGGGCAGAAGAGAGTGTGTCCGGTGGGAAGGGGGCAGTGGGCCGTCACCCGCTGAACCAGGCTAGGCCCGCAGGGTGGACCAGGAGGGTGCACTTCACCGTCTTTCTTTTGGGGGAAGAGCTTCTCTGCTTCTTTCACCCAGACTCCATGCCTTCACCTTATCCTCTTCAGCCATGTGTCTGACTTCCTCCCCTGCCTCTGGGACCATTCCAGGACAATGGTGACCTCCCCATGACTGACCCTAATGGACACCCCCAGGTTTTGTCTTGTTCTCTGAGAAGCAGGAGCTGGTGAGCCAGTTCTCCCTCTTGAAATATCTGTCTTAGCCTGTCAATGCCTCCCCCTCCTTATCTTCCTCCTGAGTTCTCTGGTTGCTCATTCTCAGTCCAGTTTCCCAGTGCTGGCTTTCCCAAGGCATAGGCCTGCATCCTCTTCTCCACATCTTGTCCCCCCCTACACAATCTCATCAACACGCTATATGCTGATGACCTGAAACTTTACTTCCCAGGCCAGACCTCTTCTCCGAGTTCCAGATGCATGTATCCGATCACTTATTCACCCACTTTTCTCTTTTGTCTCATAACCGGTATGTCCTGAACTGAAATCATTATTTCCACTTATTGGTAACAGTATTTGTGGTTACCAATAGCAGGAAAAACAACGAAAAATTGCCTCGAACAAGAAGGATGTGTTATCTCACATTACAAGAAATCCAGGGGCAAGGAAGCCACCAGCAGTTCGACAGCACCATCACAACCCAGCTGCTTCCACTTTCTGCTCAGCCAGCTCAGCAGAAGGACCTGGTCCTTAACCTTGGCCCTTCATGTTAGCCAAAAGGCGACTATTCCCAAGCATCCTCAAAATACCTTCCGGAAGTGGGCTTTGTCCTAACGCATACCCCTTTTTTATTAGGGAGAAAATGCTTTCCTCAGAAGCCCTCTCCCCCTGGAAGACTGGATCACATGGTCATGCCCTGTGTACAAGGGAAGCTGTGAAGGTAAGCTTTCTGCATTTCCATAGTCACTGTCATCTCTTATCTAGACTGCAGTCACAGCTCATTTGCTCTCCTACTTCTGTTCCTGCCTCCCCTCAATCTGTCCTGCACGTACTGCAGCTGAACAAAAGTTTTAGAGCACAGCGTGTTGTACGGGTATGATGTCAATGTGTTTTCTCTTCCCCATTATTGAAAAGTTTTCCATCACCAAGACTAGGCCATGAGAGGACACTCAGCTGCAAAGAAGGGTCTGCCTAAAGAAGCTGCTGCTCAGTTTGGAGTCTTAAACCTAAACTTTTTAAGAACTCATAGCAAGCCAGTCTTAAAAGCCCAGCTTTCAAGAGAGGAAAAAAAGGAGCCATGAACCAAAGTTTCAGAGACTTACCCTAGAGCAAGAAGCCCAGAGATAACACGTGAGAGAAACTGCTTCAGGGGAAAATACTTCCAGGGCTGGGGAGAAGTTTGGAGAACTTTGAAAGGGAAGACACCTGCCCAGGTGTCTGGGAATGGCCCCGATGCTCATCCTACAACCCTCTGTTGAGATGGCAAACAATTCAGATGAGTAGAGGGATCCTTTGAAAGAAGAGGGGCCCCTGCCTGGTTTCCTTTCTAGCTCTTCTCTAGAAGAGACGCTTCTCCGTGCCAATGTAGGGAGAGTGCAGGAGCGGATACCCGGGATGCGGTCAGGCAGGCAGAAGGCCTGAAGTGGTGCCTCTAGAGCTATAAGAGACTCCCAAAGCCCCTTGTGCACTGGCACGGGACACCGGGAGGGTCACTGAAACAGATGTAACCTAGGGTCTGGACAGGCTGGCATTGTACGTAACGAGCTCCCAATCAGAGGCCAGCAGCAGCAAATACTAGCACCTGAACAGAGGTGGTGGTCTGCCACAAGCAGGGGCCAGGGAGGACCTGGCTTGCACGTACACCAGAGACTGCTGCCATGAGGTTTTCTATCCAGCTTCCCCAAACCCAGATGCCACTGAAGGAGAAAGGTGGGAGGAGTTGAAGAAAGACGCCTCAGAATGACCAAGATTGGAGCCCAACGGTGAATGAGGTCGAGACCAACTGGACCCAGACAGAGGACAAACAAGAACACTGCGGGCCGGGCTATACCTACGAGCGAGAACAGCGGCCTGCACACAGCAGCCCAGGGCTCCAAAGCGGAGTTCCATTTTACAACACAGACAATGTTGGATATTCTTCGTACGGCTGTGTGAACTACGCATAAATCTTGTTCCCTGTCTACTCCTCAAGGCCAATCTTTAAAAGTTTTCTACGATACCTCTTTGCATTCAAGATAAAGTCTGAACGGTCTGGTCCCTGCCTGCCTCTCTACCCTCACCTCTGGCTAGCATATATAGGGGGCAGAGGAAGAATTCAATTTCAAACGTGGCCGCAGGAGATCGTGTTTCGAACACTTCTGTGCCTCAGTTTCCCTATAGTTAAAGTTGAGATCAGAAGAGTGAGCTGTTGGGCATCTCTTGATAGAGAAACGCGTAGCTGGACGTGTACTGTAGCCTCTTCCTTTGAAGCAGACTTCTTGAGGTTTCCTAACCAAGGCTCCGAGGTCGGCTTCCCCTCCCCTGTGGAGCATCACGAGTATTACAAGGTCCTTCTTTTCCTGGTGACCTCAAGGCAGTTCTCAGAGGACATCTTAGGAAGCCCTCAATCTTGATGTGGTAAGAAGCTTAGAGGTAGGAGGTCACTTGACTTCTGCGTGGTGGCAACTCTTTGTATCCATGCGGACATCAGTCAATGAATGGCAAAGCTGCACGTCAAAAAAATCTGACCTGATAATCTTTTGTTCCCACAGCAATCTGGTGTGGTCTGAGCCAGATCAGGACCAAAAAGAACAGCAGAGGTACATCTAGTGCGCTCCTGGGTCGTCTACCTTCACATCTTTCCCTGACACTCCCCACGTGCCAGCTCGTGCTGTGGGTGAATTCTTTGTGAGAGCACGCAAATGCCCATACATGTATGTGCACACACGTATGCTTGTGTGTATCTGTATCTGGGAACGGGAGACAGTGGTGTCCAACCAATTACGTTTCTCTTCTTTGGTAAGAAACCCATTTATGAATCTAGTTGTTTCGAAAACATTTATTCATAATTTTTCAATATTTTTCATTAAATGCTTTTTTACATTTCAAAAAAGGAGATAAAAGTATAAC